TAATAATAATAATAATAATAATAATAATAATAATAATAATAATTCTCAGGGCTACAGTGGGTGGTGAGTCAACTAGTTCGAACTACTTATATCTGATTTTGTCACTACTAAGTTTAAGAGCATCACTGGAGCTTCGAAAATGGATTTAAGAACTATCAGTTTGTGTCAGATAATACACACACTGCCTGACATATTCTAACAGACGTCGCATGAATACTTGTACTACAACAGAAAATTTTATCCTCACTTGACGTAAAATCATGTGCTAAAGGTCAAGGTCAAGGTCAAGCCGTATTACCCTTTAGAATTTAAGATATTTAAGAGAATATATTTTATCGTTTTACATACTCAGAGACCTTCGGTGTTCAAGTCCATACAGTAAATACATTCTTACATAAACTTTACAGAAAGGAGAACACGTTGATACATTCCTTGAGCTGTAATAGTTGCTGTATAGTGTTTGAACTGGCTGTACTTTAAGTGCTTTAGAACCTTAGTTACAGAAGTACAAAATTACACAAAAACCGAATCTCAGAAGAGGGAGGGAGAGAGGGAGGGAGGTGGCGAGGGAGGGAGGTGGCGAGGGAGGGAGGGAGGCTGTATCTCAACACTGCGGGGTATCAATAAAACAATGATCTGAGGCGCTCCTTATATCAGTGTGAGGGTCCTCGTGAGGTTACGTGGAGGAGGTGTGGAGGAAGAGTGTGTGAGGGGGAGGGGGGTGAGGGAGAGGAGTGTGGAGAGGGAGGAGAATGTGGGGAGGATGAGTGTGTGAGGGGGGAGTGAGGGAGAGGAGTTCGGAAGGTGTGGAGGAAGAATGTATGAGGGGGGAGGGTGAGGGAGAGGAGGAGAGATGTGGGGGAGGAGAGTATGAGGGGGAGGAGAGTGATGGAGAAGAGTGCGTGAGGAAAGTAATGGAAAAGAGTATGGGGGGAAGAGGAGGTGTGGGGGGAAGAGTGTGGGAGGGAGGAGAGTGTGAAGGGGAAGAGACGAGGGAAGGAGAGGAGGGATAAGGGAAGGTATAGTACAAAAGGGTTGAAAACAAAGGAAGGAAGAAAAATAGAAAGGAGGAGAGACATAGAGTGAATAAAAGAGAGAAGGATGAAGGAGGGGAAGAGAAAGGAGAGGAATTTTACAGATGAAGACGAAGGAAGAACTATGGAGATGTTGTCTAGAGGAGACGGGGTGGTGAGGGAGGAGAGTGGTGGAGAGAGAGGGGTGGAGGGAGAGAGGGAGAGAGGGGGTGGTAGAGGGAGAGTGGTGGGAGAGAGGGGGTGGTGGAGGGAGAGAGTGGTGGAGAGAGGGGGTGGTGAGGAGAGAGGGGTGGGAGAGAGAGGGGTGGTGGAGGGAGAGAGTGGGGGAGAGGGGGGTGGTGGAGGGGAGAGTGGTGGAGAGAGAGGGGGTGGTGAGGGAGAGAGTGGGGAGAGAGGGGTGGTGGAGAGAGAGGGTGGAGAGAGGGGTGGTGGAGAGAGGGGTGGTGGAGGAGAGGTGGAGAGAGGGGGTGGTGGAGGGAGAGGGTGGGAGAGAGGGGTGTGGAGAGAGGGGGTGGTGGAGGAGAGAGTGAGAGGGGTGGTGGAGGGAGAGGGAGAGAGGGGTGGGAGGGGAGAGGGGGTGGTGAGTGGTGGAGAGAGGGGGTGGAGGGAGGGGGAGGGTGGTGGAGAGAGGTGGTGGGGGAGAGAGTGGTGGAGAGAGGGGGTGGTGGAGGGGAGGGTGAGAGAGGGGTGGTGGAGGGAGAGAGGGTGGGGAGAGGGGGTGGTGGAGGGGGGTGGAGAGAGGGGGTGAGAGTGGTGAGAGGGGTGGTGGAGAGAGTGGTGGAGAGGGGGTGGTGGGGAGAGAGGTGGAGAGAGGGGTGGTGGAGGGAGAGAGTGGTGGAGAGAGGGGTGGTGGAGGGAGAGAGTGGTGGGGGAGGTGGTGGGGGGGAGGAGGGAAGAGGAGAGGGTAATGGAAGAGGAGGAAGAGTGTTGGTGGGTTGGCGGAGGAGGAAGAGTGTTGGTGGAGGAGGTGGGAGAGAGTGGAGAGAGAGAGAGAGAGAGAGAGAGAGAGAGAATCATGGTGGAGAGGAACACAAGAGGTGTGAAGTGGGCAGAGGGTCAAGTACTTCTCTTTCCAATTTAGAGGACTCGAACCTGACCCTTAAATTCTTCCTGACGACTCTTTGTCATCAGCAGCCAGCACTACTACCACCAGGGGGACGAAGAGGAGGAGGAGGAGGAGGAAGAATAAAGGAGGGAAGGAGAGCGAAAGGGTAGAATAAGAGAGAACTAAAGGAGAAGAAGAAAGAATAGATAGGAGAGGAAAAGAAGAATATGAGATGACAGAGAGAGACAAAGATAGAGAGAAGATGAATGAGTAGGTATCCTATCTGACGCTACATTAAGGACAAGGAGTCTCACCTGGGTAATCTTAGTCTTGTAAACAAACTGATCATTAGTGTAAGATTAATTGTATTGTGGTCCTTCAAGTATGATTAATATTTCTACTTTTACTTTTTACTCTTATCCTCTTCGCTACTGACCGGGTTGTTAGCCACTTGAGCGTGTCTTTATCATTGTTATTAGGCACAAGGTACTCGTTCTCATAACCCGAGTACAAAAAGATTATTACTTTACAAACGAATATTCACTCTTATGGTGACATTGCCTCCACCAAGCCAACCATACCCAAATAAACCTTTCTTTAAATTATTTCCTTTCAAATCTCCCGAGTAACTGATGAATCCACTCCCTGGTTTCGATCACTGCGAGTATCTTTGCTGAAACGAATCCAGATGCTATCTTTGTTTTCGTGCAGTCAGCTGAGTATGACGACAATCAGGTAATTATTCTTGGATCGTACCGTTTAATGAGACCCTGATCAAATATTCATTGGGCTAGTCGCTCCAAATGTGTGTGTGTGTGTGCGTGTGTGTGTGTGTGTGTGTGTGTGTGTGTGTGTGTGTTCTAGTTGTGATGGTAGATTAACAGGTATCTTTGAACGTACTCTACCTGAGATGACTGTAAACTAGATATCACATTACACAAGTTAGCACCGAGTCCCACCCTCCTTCCCTTATGCTAACATTCCTTCATAATGTTACGATATCGCCCTACTAAACCTCTCATACTATGCAAATTCGGTAATGCAGTACGGAAACTGAATATTAGCTTATCATAACAGGATGTGTCCAGTCGTAACATATGACCAGTGACCCGTAAGTATTCCCAGGGATTCAGAGATGGGAGAGACGTGTGTGTGTGTGTGTGTGTGTGTAATAATAATAATTACTATTATTATTTTATTATTATTATTATTATTATTATTATTATTATTATTATTATTATCATTATTATTATTATTATTATTATTATTATTATTATTATTATTTCATTATTATTATTATTATTATTATTATTATTATTATTATTATTATTATTATTATTTTATTATTATTATTATCATTATTATTATCATTATTATTATTATTATTATTATTATTATTATTATTATTATTATCATTATTATTATTATTATTACACACACACACAGAGTCTCTCAGCAGTAATGACAATCAGTCATGGGTTATAATGAGTGAGGCTGTGGCCCGTAAATCTCTCACAGGCAAATGATAATGATCATTATCTCTCTTCATATCGTAACTTCTGCCTCAGTCATAACAATTACACCACAATAATTGACAATAAAAACGACTTTATTCTTCGATAAAATACAATTAATGTCATCAGCAATTAGGGCACGAGAAAAAAATTATATCCAAAATCTGATCAACTGGTAATTTCATTTTGTGTGAGTTGGAAATGTTCGTGGAAATTGTTATTGTCATTCCAAGCACAAAAATATATAACTCGTGGTGTATTTTCATCATATTCTTGTTCTGAAATACACAATAATAGGAATTAACCAAAAAGCTAACCTAACCAAACCTACCTAACCTTAGCTTAAGTACTAGTATGTATTCCACTATCCTTAAGTTAGGTTAGTTTAGGTTTCATTAGATCTGGTGGTATTAGTTTAGCTTAAAAGTATCGTTACGTTTAGTTTAGTTTAGTTTAGTATGTTGGTTCGATTTCCTATTTGAATAAATAATTTACGCGACTTTCATTAAGAATTTCAGTATGTACAATCAAGTATTTAAGACAGTCATGTGGTGGAATAGGATAGCCAGGCGATATAGTTTATCTAATAATGTCGGCCGAGATACTGAGCATCTTAACTAATGTAAGATTAGATCAGTGTTTATCGTGCAGTGAACACATCGTCAGCCTCACCTGACCTAACTAATAGAAGTATTTTGTTGTTGTTGTTCATGAAAGATGTTATGAGTTTGTTGAAGCGCTGCTCAACACACACATTCTCGGCCATCCTTGTTGTACTACAAATGTTGAGAAAAATAGCATATACAGTTTGTTAAAAAACAACAACAACAAGATAGTGCAGATAAGAACCCTTTGTCCTTTAGCTCAGCCAGACGAGAAACACTCCGGAGAGCCACTCACCTGGCGTGTTCCTCAGGCACAATATTGTCAAGTTAAAGCCAAACTTACCAGCTGTGAATACTGACAAAGTTTGGTGGTGTAACTTGCAGGGTGCACGAGTATTTGTTTATATATATATATATATATATATATATATATATATATATATATATATATATATATATATATATATATATATGTATATATATATATATATATATATATATATATATATATATATATATATATATATATATATATATATATATATATATACACACACGCTGGATAGCTTCAAACATAGGTTGGATGGATATATGAGCAATAGGGGTTGGGTGTAAATGGGACTGCCCAGTATGGGCCAATAGGCCCGCTGCAGTTTCCTCCATTCTTATGTTCATATGTTCTTATATATAGGCTCTCGTGCACCCTGCAAGTTACACCACCAAACTCTGGCAGTATTCACTAAATTAAGAGACCTGACATGACCGATGGATCTTTAAGCAGGAGGTCATCTTGTTGTTTCAGATTGAGCTGTCGACGGTGGATCGGTTAGTGTTGAACAACGTGCAGCTCAGCTCCTCCGGCAAGTACAAGTGTGAAGTAATAGCCGAGAGTCCTCTGTTCCTCACGGCGGACAAAAGTGACCCAATGACAGTCGTCCGTGAGTACATGCTCGAGTTACTACCACTGAGTGTCCTTATGTGTTACATTGTGTTATGAAGTGTTGTAACTGTATGTCCTCACATGCGTTATAACTTTGTTCTGTGTTATGTCACGTGTTACACTAAATATTGTCTTCTCATACATAGCCTAACTTCACTCACATTCCAATACATAACAAAATACTCCCTCCCTCAACACCTTTATGGTCAGTTGTTACCCCCCCGACACCTGTCTGTAACTTACCACGTCAATTTCATTTCTTCTAAATCAAATGCCCTTTTAAATTTTCGCTACAATTATGGTGTTTATGTGGGGGGGGGGGGGAGAACGGTAATATGCCATGATAGGTTATACCATGATAGGTTATGCCCAGAGGGAACTGCACTGCACCGCCCTCATTGTCCCCGCTGGGTGGATTGAGGATGTCCCGTATGTTAACCAACGACCTTCAGGATTCTGCACTCGGCCACGATATTGATGGTGCTAGGGTCCAATACCAAGGAATGAGCATAACAGGGGACCACCTCCTCACCACACCACAGCGAAACGATCATTCATGGCTTCCCTCACATTTCTTCTCTCCGTTTCAGCTAAACCCCTCCTGGCTACCCTCACACCTATCCTCTTCTGACTCCCCTTCACCCTTCTCTTTCACATCTTTTTTTGGTCTCATACCAGTATTCAAGTCTTCCTTTAAAATTATTTTCATCCTCCCTATCTGTTACACCGTCCTTTCGCCCGCATCTCCTCTCATATCCCCATTGGTCCGATCTCCCCTCACGCCTTATGTCTCTCCCAATCAGAGATCCCGAAGGAGAAGCCTCGCATCTACGGGAGGCAGGACGAGTACCATATAGGCGACACTGCGCACCTCACCTGCGTCTCGGCCATGTCCAGCCCGCCAGCCGAACTGACCTGGTTCATCAACGACAAACAGGTGAATTTTAGGTCTTTAATGCAAGGCTATAAGTCACGTTTCCTCTCAACTCTGACTAGCAGCAGTTAAAGACAAGTTACTGTATGTTTCCCCGACTTACACTTATTGCTGGTAACACTAAAGTAATCTTTCCCTCACGCCTTTGGATTTCAGAGTAGAATTAGTGGACAGTTTTTCTTTAGACGCACAGTAAAGTTTATAATTTTGGGGGTAACAGAATACAAACTCCTCACATTCTTCTTACCATTCAGCAGCTTTTTAAGTCTTGTCATCGTCATTCCAGCCTCTATCCTCGCCCTGACTTACAACACACACACACACACACACACACACACACACACACACCAAATGACGTATTTTACTTTTTTTATTACGGGATTAGCCCACCAGTGCACAGATCAGTGACCCACATTAGGGCCTGGGGGCGAAAATATAATAATAACAATACCAATAATAATAATATTAATAATAATAATAATAATAATAATAATAATAATAATAATAATAATAATAATAATAATAATAATAATAAATAAAAAATAAAAATAAATAAAAGATCAATAGTGAGAAACGATATACTGTATGCACTGTATATGTTGTGTTGTCAAAGTAATTAAAGTCTGTTGCTGGGGCCATTCAAGACTTTAGAATCAGTGAAGAGATTAAAAAAAATAAATTACAACATTTTACTTCAGAAACTCATGAAACTCTGGTATCATTCACACCAACATCTGATCTTAACCCTGTAGGTCCAACACCGACCCTCACACACCTACAACAAGGGACTCGGTTTTAAGCTTCACGGACAAGGAATAAGAGAGAGAGGAGGGGTAACATTTTGCCTCAGAAATTTATGGCAGGGAAGGCTTTTAAGGGTCGAGTTCAGCTGAGCGACAGTGTGATAAGTTGCTGTGGTCTCAGTGCTGTACAGAGGCTGGGGAGGGGGTAGGATCACCATTCAGTAGACATTCATCACCAAGTTCAGAAGAGATAAACAAAGAAGTAGATTCTTTATTTATTAGATATGACCTAACCTAACCTAACCTAATTAACCCAGAACTACCCTGAATTCATCCGACTTAACCTCACCCAACAAATCCAGATCGCAGGTGACATAAGCCCAACCTAACGTAACCTGACTATAGCTGACCTAACCCATCCGTCCAAACAAAAGTAGAGGACATAAAAATTACACTGTACGGCCATCCTCCCCCACACACCACACCACTCAGGCCACTTGGACAAGACTCCTCACCACACAAAAGACCTTTGTTATAGGCCTGGTATAATGGTGGTAGGTCGATCATAGAAGGTATCTGAAGATGGTTGTATAGGTCGAGAGAAAGATGGCCCTAGTCGATGACAGAAGGTAGATGAAGCTGGTAGAATGATGGTGGTATAGGACGATGGCAAGGTAGAGTTTAATCTACCCCTGTGGGAGGACCAGGTGCATGGCCCAGGACTAGTGTAGGGCACAACTGGTACTTGGTCGACGGGCCGTAGAAAGTGATCCTCCGACACGAGATCAAGAAAGAATATTTACCCCAAAGGTAGAGGTTTCCCATGGGTCGGTGGTTCGATCCCAGGGAGCCCCCAGTCCACCCGCTGTAAATGGGTAACAAACTTCATACGTTGGGAAGTGAAAGTGGTGGAGGGCAGTGACGGCCACGTTGCCTCGCGCACCCAAGACTAGGGGCGGCGTTACACAAGCACCTAAACGGGTAGTTTTTCACACCTGCAGACAAATCCGGCAATAGATCAGGAGAATCCAGCTTGTGTTCCCGGTTTCTGTTAACTCCGACATATCGGTCTACACTTACCTGATATCGGCGTTACTCCCGAGTTCAGTAAAGAGCAACTAACATGTTGAAGGTACAGTTATATATATATATATATATATATATATATATATATATATATATATATAAAATACATGCAGTAATTTATTAATGCAAATTCATCTGACAGCAATGTTTACATTTTGCCATCAAACTCTCGTATTGCTCCTTCTAGTGATCCTTGGACGAGTCTATAAACGTTTTCTTTCTTGCCTTCACTTGATACAGCCCAAAACAACAGCTATAGTTGCCACAGTAATAGGGTCATCGAGAACCATTTTGAATGTTTACGTCTATGTGATGCTGAAATTTGGCCAGCCTCGTGTGGCCGCCTTGAGCGTAGTAAGCCGGAGTTGTAGTGCCAGATTTGCCTTCCGGATTGAAAAATTGCCACTTAAGGTGCTTGTGTGAAGCCGCCTTTAGTATACAGTGTACTGTATCCACACTGTCCCTAACAGACAGTCATGCCTATGGGACCAACTTTCACTCATGTGGGCGTGGGTAAATGTAGTCAGGTGTGGGTAAACGCCACAAATTGTGGATAATTCGAAAATTATTTCCAGTTGATGATAAGCTTCCGATAGTGTTGATATGTGTTAACGTAAAAACTAAACTATACTAATAAGAAGAACAGTATATTACCTGGAGTTGCACACACTGTCACACACCTGGTGGAGGGTGAGGGGGCGAGGTGTGTTCGTGACCCTCCCGCACTGTTATCACCATGTAAAGGGCTGTTAGGGGCGTAGGTGTGTGTGAAGCATCATGGTGAACCCCCTCCACCACCATTATCACCACCATCACCACCATCACCACGACCACCATCACCACCATCACCACGACCACCATCACCACCATCACCACCACCACCATCTTGGCATTGATATCATACACCTGGAAGAATTACCTTTTTTACACATTTAATTCACCAACAAAGGATGATAAATACACCTTAGGTTTATGAACATCCCTGTTGCCTGCTCACACTGATCTTGAGAGATGAGAACTGTTGTTTTATACCTCTCTCACACACACACACACACACACACACACACACACACACACACACACACACACACACACAAAAATCACTCAAGAATTCCACAATACTTCATTAAAACCTAAACTAAAAAAAAAAAAAAAAAACTGATCACTATTTTTCCAGGATCTTATAATACGCTAATTCCTATAAGTCAATTAAACCACAGAACATATTATAAGGACACAAAGTTACTCCGTACGAAAGAGATATTTGATAAATCACTGGAAGAATTTGTGAGATAGTAATCGCCTTTGATTACCTCCCCCCACAGCGTATAAGACAAGAGTAATAATTCATATCTGGGGTCCTTGATAAATAGACCACTTGGGACAAAAGAAAACATACACTGGGATTTTGCAGGGGGTCTGCCGATATGATTCTAGCGGGAGTTATGGAGTCGTTTCATATGTTGGCTTGAGAGAGAGAGACAGAGAGAGAGACAGACAGACAGACAGACAGAGAGAGAGACAGAGAGAAGAGACAGACAGACAGAGAGAGAGACAGACAGACAGACAGACACAGACAGAACCAGACAGACAGACAGACAGACAGAGACAGACAGACAGACAGACAGACAGACAGACAGACAGAGACAGGAGAGACAGACAGAGAGACAGAGAGAGACAGACACAGACAGACAGAGACAGACAGACAGACAGAGACAGAGACAGAGACAGACAGACTCAGACAGACAGACAGACAGACAGACAGGCAGACAGACAGAAAAAGAGAGATGAAACAATTTGAATTGAGTTTCCTAAAGAAGATTTTCTACGCATCTCAGGAGAAAGCCTCCAATCCTCTCTCTACCATCAGAATGCTCCACCAACATGACTACACTCTAATCCTGTTGTGGTGGTCGGGGGGAGGAGGGAGGGAGGGTATGTCAGTGAAACCTTCTTCATCCCTAAAAGAAGATCAGCTGGCCAGGATAGGTGCTCCACGCTATAGAGTCCAGGTCGTGAGCTTCTCGTACCATCATTGGACATTGGAAGAGGATGCTAGTTAGATGCTGTGACTCTTGTGTGAGGCGAGAAAGATAGAGAGAGAGAGAGAGAGACATTCACTCCCTGCAACAAAATAAATCATCATAAATGTCTTACAGGAGAAATGAATTAATCACTCAACTGTCTGCGTTAAAAGTGGATAAAGTTGAGGACAGTGGACAGTGGAAGAGACGGTTACCCCCCCCCCCCGCCGTCTCACCTACCTCTTCATTTCTACAACATGTTTCATCTCTCCAATATTTTAAGACTATAATCTAAAAAAAACATTCAATATAACTCTACATTATGTTAGCTTCCACCAACATATTCAGTTATCAAACCTCACTCTTATATCTATAAATTACATACATGAATATTATTGCTTTGATTATCCCACCAAAAACACAATTATATTCAGATTCAACAAATGCATTAACCAGAAATATATCGCTATGTATATAACAGCACAAACAGTTTATCGTAATTGTAAAAGTTATTATTCAATTAAGGTACAATCATTGTGTTAATGGCGTAGTGGCGTGGCTTATTGTGTGCGTGTGATGGTAGTGTACCTAGGAACTGTTCACTAGTATCTACATCAACAATGACTTACATTTTAATTCAAGTTTTATACAAGACGACCTTACTTATCTGGGCTATATACACCTGTCTCTGAAATACTCCTAGATATAAAATGTTTACCGCTATATACATTTCATTGTCTAATAATGGCATTAATAACTCACATTGATAACCTTAATTAATACTAATAACATCAATAATAATGATAACTTTTAACTGGCGGTACATTTTTGTATATCATCGATCACAGAACTTATTTGAGAGAGCTAATGCTGTTATTATAATGTTGTTACTGCGTCTCAACAATGAAGGTCTTTAAGCATGTAACAAAATTAGTAACAGGCTAGTCCAACAACATTAAAAATTATGAAAGATAGAACCCTGTGTAAAAAGAAACAGACAGACGGACAGGCAGACAGACAGACGGACAAACAGACAGACAGACTGACAGATAAAGCAGTACCAAGAGCACCACAATAGGAAAAGCACAACAGCCAGAAAAAGAAGGAAAAGACGAGGAACAACAATAGAGAAAACAACATGAGTGTCGTA